CTTTCCACACATCCTATTATCTAAGTGGAATAGGTCGTCTGCTTTTCATTTCCATGTCTTGCTTTCCTAATTCTTGTTAGCTGTCTCATACAGATACCCACATTCAAGCCTGCTATCCTTATGCTGCTTAAGAGATGCCTGAATTTAACATCCAAACGCCTCATACAATCTCCTCCAGTCAATCCTGAGAAAATCCTCTCTAAATTCCCATCTGATCACTGCCCAGTGATGGCAGCAGCAGCCCTCAGAAGCCCAAACTCACATGGTACTTTCGTGCTGCCGCCGGGGAGTGACAAAGAGCATGCGGGTGGGGCGGGCACTACTGGCATCTGGGTGGGCACTCCAAGGCTTGGCATAGCTATGATCCAGAAAAACCAGGTCCAGCTCCCGTTCGTGCACTGAAAGCTGGAAGAGCAGCGAGGTGCCCATGCGTCGAGCTGAAGTCTGGAAGTCCCTCTCCCCACCCCGGTGGGCCATGTCAGTGGAGGGGCAGAAAGTCAGAGCAAGGGTATCTGCATGCTAGTCACCTGCAGTGAGAAGTTTCAGTTTAGGTCAATTCCAATATTCTGAATTTCTCCCAATCTACACCATCTAACATGCTTACTTTTGTAACCTACTATCATTCCTGTTGAGCATCCATTTCACAGCAGACCTCTGGTGGGCAGGGTTCGTGGAATCCCACACCAACACCAAAAAAAAAAGGAAAAAAAAAAAAGAAAAAGAAAAACGAGGTGCCATGAGTTGTCCCATACTCAACCTCTAGCGAACTGAAATTCGCTAACGGGAGAGCTCACCGACCCCGAGGTTCAGAAAGACCTGGCGTGGACAGACACTACACCTGCTTGGCCAGCACAACTTCCTAGCTGGGCAGGAAGAGTTCCGGCAAACGGGAAATCACAAACGTGAGTTCGTCGAAAGCTAAGGTTCTCTGTCGCTTCGCATCATCCTCTACCGACGATGCCGACAGAGCCGGGGCCGCAGCAGGAGCGTGGGCACCGCTAAAGGGCAGGGCAACGCGGGCCTCAAAAAAGCGAATCCCAGCTAGGGCTCCATGTCCTTCGAGTCCCTCGTACCGCGTGAAACAAAAGTTCTGTCGGTACTTCGTAATATTTCAGAGTTTATATGAAAAGGAGAGCGCCCCCCACAAAGCCTGTGACAAAATGGTCCCCGTGGAAGCCCTTTCGCCCGCACTCCCGGCGAGGCGTCCCCAGCAAACCGCCCCGGACCCCGGCGGCCCCGCAGGCGTTCCCGCCACTGAGCCTCCCTCGAGGAGACAGGGCCATGACTCGCATTTTACAGACCAGGTCGCCAGCTCGGGGAACTGAAGCGACTTGGCCAAGGTCATGCAGAGTTCGCGACGAGGAGGAGCCTCCTGGCCCCCGCCCGCCGCCCGCCGCCCGCCGCCCGCCGCCGCCCGCCGCCTCCCGCCTCCCGCTCCCTGGGGCACGGCTCGGCGTCCGCGTCACCGAGGCCCAGACGCGGCCCCCGCCCGCCCCCCGGCCCAACCCGCCCGACCAGCCCCGGCAGCCGGCCCTAGCCCGGGCCCCCGCACGCCCCGGGCGCCCTGAAGCCCTCGCCGAGACCCCCGGCCGTCCCAACCAGGGCCGCGAACCCCACGGCCCGCCACTCCCCTCGAAGCCAACGCAGCTCTCACCCGCGCTCTTACGGCCGCGCGCTCGGCCCGGGCCAGATCCCTCAGCGCGTGCGCGTCAACGCCTCCACGCCCCGGCGCTGCGGGCACCGAGTAAAACGCGGAAGCGGCTCACGGCCTGGGAAGGGAGAGGCGGTGAGCGGCAAAGCCCGGAACGGATAAAGCCCCGGCGCCTCAGTCGGGAAGAGGAGCGCCGAGAGCGCGAGAGCGTGTCCGAAGCAGAAAGTCAGCACCTGGGCTGGAGTGTCCCCCTCGCGCATTTTCAGTAGGGAAAGCGAGGGCGGAGGACGAGGCTGGCTTCTACGGCCCCAGTTCTCGCCGCCCCCATCGTGTTGGTCCTTTGTGCCCTGTGGGCGGTCGAGCACCCAACGGTCCACCTCCACCAGGGCAGTCCCCTGAATTTCCTCATTAAGAATGTACCTGTGTGGCTCACGCCTGTAATCCCAGCGCTTTGGGAGGCCTAGGCGGGAGGATCTCTTGAGCTCAGGAGTTTGAGATGAGCCTGGCCAATATGATGAGACCTCTGTATCTACAAAAAATTTTAGAAATTAGGCATGTGTGATAGTGATGTATGCCTGTAGTCCCAGCTACTCGGGAGGCTGAGGTGGGAGGATCACTTGAGTCTGGGCGGTCCAGGCTGCCAGGAGCCATGGTCGCGCCACGGAACTCCAGCCTGGACGACGGAGTGAGACCATGTCTCAAAAAAAAAAAAATAGAATTTTGTTACTGACCCTAGATCGCTTTGTGTGGTTAACTTTCCTATGTGTTTTTGTGTAGAGACAGTAGATCCTCAAAGTCAGGGAAATTAACCTTTGTATCCTCCAGAGAACATAGAGCCCAGGACATAGGTAATTGTTCAAATGATGACTGATCAATAATTGGTTATTTGGTTGACTGACTGAGAGAGCAAGAGTCATGGTTCAAGATGGTAAATCTCACCCGGGAGCTGTGGCTCATGCCTATCATCCCAGCACGTTGGGAGGCCGAGGTGGGAGGATCGCTTGAGACCAAGAGTTCAAGACCAGCCTGCACAGAACAGTCAGACTTCATTTCTATTTTTTAAAAAAAATTAATTAATTAATTAAATTTTTAAAAATGGCCAGGTGTGGTGGCTCACACCTGTAATCCCAGCACTTTGGGAGGCTGAGGCGGATGGATCACAAGTTCAGGAGTTCAAGACCAGCCTGGCCAACTTGGCGAAACCCTGTCTCTACTAAAAATACAAAAATTAGCCACGTGTGGTGGCCCATGCCTGTAATCCCAGCTACTCGGGAGGCTGAGGTAGGAGAATCACTTAAACCCGGGAGGCAGAGATCGGTGAACCGAGATCGCACCATTGCACTCCAGCCTGGGAGACACAGCAAGACGCTGTCTCTAAAAAAAAGAAAAAGATATGTACAGACATGCAAACACTCGAAACATTCAGAAAGCTACTCAAAGCTGTGTTCCACAAAGATGAGAGGGTAAATTGAGAACACGGAAGGCATACCATCGGGGAAGCAGGGTCTAACACAAGAAGCAGACGAGGAATTCTGAAGGTGATGGCAAAGAGTATCCCAGGACAATAGCTGTGCTGCATGACTGGGGACCACCAGTCTCGGCTGGGGGAGAAGAGAAGACCAGGAGGTGGAGCCCCAGGGAAAACAATAAAACTGGGAAAATGCCTCACAGATTTGAAAAAAATCAAGGAATGCTATTTAAATGTGCTGTTTAGAAATATGAAGCTTAATGCCACAGAAATTATCACAAATAGAGCAGCCCCTGCCCCACCTCTCCCTACCCTTAACTTTGTCTCCTGGCGCTTGTTTGGGGCCAGGGTTCTGCTGCTTCTCTACTTATATTTCCATTCCCACTATAAACAAATTTGTGTCTTTTCTCTGCCCCTTTCCTCAGCACACCGTGTTTATCATTTTGTTTCATTCTTTGCCAATTTAAGAGGTGATAAATGGTATCTTATCCCGTTTCTTGGCTTATTAATGAGTTTGATTTTTTGTTTTGTTTTGTTTTGTTTTGTTGTTGTTGAGATGGGGTCTCTCTCTGTCGGCCAGGCTGGAGTGCAGTGGCGTGATCTCGGCTCACTGCAACCTCCGCCTCCAGGGTTCAAGCGATTCTCCTGCCTCAGCCTCCCAAGTAGCTGAGACCACAGGCATGTACCACCACGCCCGGATAATTTTTTTGTATTTTTAGGAGAGACGGGGTTTCACCGTGTTAGCCAGGATGGTCTCCATCTCCTGACCTCGTGATCCACCCACCTCGGGCTCCTAAAGTGCTGGGATTACAGGCGTGAGCCACTGCTCCCAGCTTTTAGATATTCATTAGTTTTCCTTCTAACTATTGAATAAGATGTAATTTATACAACGTTCAACCCTAAAACCTAAAAAACCTTGCTGTGGAGAATAAGAGTAAATGCCCCAGCTCCACCTTAATGCTCAGAGGCTCTGACAGCCATAAAGACAGCCACTTCAAAACCGCATGGGCTGCTTCGACCTTCCATAGGAGCTCATTAATTCAAAAGCTAATTTCCTTTCGTCAAAGAGGGTCTCATATGTAAACTTAGGTTTTTCTTAGTAAAAAGGAGGCTTCCACATTAGGAAGAACTTCCCCTGAGACCTCCCAGAAATAGTCCTTGATTTTCCTATCCCTTTTCTCAGGTCGCTTCACTGTTTTCTTATTTTCTCATCTAAATTGTGTGACTTTGGCAATGATTCACTCCAGACAACTTGCTTGTACAAGGAGAAAACATCAACCTTACGTCTGACCTTGAAATCAAAAGGACAGCAAGGAGGGCAGGTGTGGGGTGGGAAAAAAAAAAAAAAAAAAAGGCCAGACTTGGTGGCTCACGCCTGTAATCCCAGCAGTATGGGAGGCCGAGGCGGGCAGATCACCTGAGTTCGGGAATTCCAGACCAACCTGACCAACATAGAGAAACCCCATCTCTACTAAAATTACAAAATTAGCTGGGTGTGGTGGCGCATGCGTGTAATCCCAGCTACTCGGGAGGCTGAGGCAGGAGAATCGCTTGAACTCGGGAGGCAGAGGTTGTGGTGAGCTGAAATCGCACCATTGCACTCCAGCCTGGGCAACAAGAGCAAGACTCCATCTCAAAAAAAAAAAAAAAAAAAAAAGCAGAATAGGAGAAAAGAGAAAAGAGGAGGTGAAAGCAGCCAGATGATTTTGTTTCTACAGGCCCAGTCACCTATACTGGGTGACACCCATACTGTTCCTCTTCCCCCGTCTCTTTCCCATTAATTCCTCACCAGAACCGAGAACCGCCCACCTTTGTGACATCCTCTCTGTTGCCAAGCAACAGACAGGAAGTGGGGCTCCACTCACCCCAGGATCCCTGGGAAGAGCCTCGGCCTGAGGAGCTCCAAAAAGGAAACTGTGGCACTGCGGAGGGAAGGAGGGAAGAGAGTAGGTCTCCGAGATGCTGCGGCTTGTTGTGCAGTCGGCCAAGATTGACCCACCGCTAGCTCCACTACCCAGGCCCTGCGTGTCCATCGACTTCAGAGGTGAGAGCCTCCCTGGGTCCACATGGGAGAGAGAAGCCCCCAGAGGCAACATGCATTCAGTGAAAAAAGAGGTGTAGGGCACCGTACTATGTAAAAGATGCCCTGTATAACACAAAGTGAAGTAGACATTGCCCAGCTCTCTCAAAACTTATTGCTATCGTTTGATTATGACTTCTCTGCCTCCTACTTTTGCTAGGGAATGGGTATGGAAAAAAGAGAGGACGAGTGCTTCTGGACCTTCTTCCATGACCTAGAGCTGCGCCGTAAACTAAGGTTTAAAGAGAAAGTCCCTGCTTCCTCAGATTGATGTGGGGGTTTAAAAAGATAATATGTGTATAGCCCTTAGTATAACTTCTAGTAATAACTGCTTGATCATGTTAGTTCCGTTTGCATGAGCTTTACAACTGACAAAGCGTTTTTTGTTTTTTTTTTTTGAGACAGACTGTCACTCTGTTACCCAGGCTAGAGTGCAGTGGTGTGATCTTGGCTCACTGCAACCTCTGCCTCCCAGGTTCAAGCAATTCCCCTGCCTCAGCCTCCGAAGTAGCTGGGACTACAAGCGCATGCCACCACACCCGGCTAATTTTTGTCATTTTAGTGGACACGGGGTTTCACCATATTGGTCAGGCTGGTCTCGAACTCCTGACCTCAGGGATCCACCCACCTGGGCCTCCCAAAGTGCTGAGATTACAGGTGTGAGCCATGGCACCCAGCTGACAAAGCCTTTTCATATGTACAATGATGTCTGCTGCTCACAGCAATTCCAGAGGTAGATGAAGCAAATTTTATCATCTCCATTTTTTTTTGTAGATGAAGCAAGTTTTACTATCTCCATTTTTTTTTTTTTTTTTAGTTAAGAGAACAGAACCCCAAGAAGGAAGGGAAAGAAAAGGATGAAAGAATTTGTGAGAGAAAATGAGAGAGATGTTAGGTATATTTAGATATCAAAGATCTGGCAGCTAAAAGGAAAGAAAAGAATAAAGGGTGAAAGGGTGGGGCATGGTGGATCACGGTTGTAATCCCAGCACTTTGGGAGGCTGAGGTGGGCAGATCACTGGAGGTCAGGAGTTCGAGACAAGCCTGGTCAACACAGTGAAACCCTGTCTCTATTAAAATATAAAAACTAGCTGGGCGTGGTGGCAGGTGCCTGTAATCCCAGCTACTTGAGAGACTGAGGCGGAAGAATCGCTTGAACCTGGGAGGCGGAGGTTGCAGTGAGCCAAGATCACACCACTGCACTCCAGCCTGGCCAACAGATCAAGAAGTGCCATCTCGAAAGAAAGAAAGAAAAACGAAAAAAGGGTGGAAGTTTGTAGGTGGAGATACAGGACGGTAGATACAGGCAAATAGGTTTTACAGGGACGGTTGGTAGGGAGAAAACCCAGACCAAGAGAAAAGAGGACACAGTAGTTCCTACAGGAGATGTGAGTGAAGAATGGAATTTATTTATTTTATGTTATGCTGTTGTTCTGTGAAACTAGGCTTGTTGAACACAGCAGTATTCAGAGATTGAACATTTGGGACTCCAGGCTCACAGGGTCATACATGCTGATGTCCTCAGTCTGCAGGTTTCAAGAGGGGCAGTGCGAGTTCAGGATGAATTTGCCCTTCTTGACTAATTCTCCAGTTAGCCAGGCGAGGGGTTGCCAGTTCTTCTCTGATTCTGAGCCATCTTCCCCACCAACTCATGGGCACCATCTTTCTCATTCCAGAAATATCTCTCACAAAGATGCCTAAAACTCAGAACCCTGGGTTCACCCACAGATTCTTCTGATTGTATGTTTATGTTTGACACTTTGTACTCCTTTTGTCCTTCTCAGCCTCTTCCTTCATATGCCGTCCACTAACCTGCTCCCCTTCCCACTGCTTGGAGGGCCTTTTACCCATTATGGATGTTTCAGGATGTCTTCGTTAGGGTACACTGGGCTTTGCTCCGGCAATAAATAAAACCTTAATTTTCAGTGGGTTAGCAATGAAAGTTTACCTCTTGCTGACACCAAGTCCTGCAGGGATGGTGCTGGTCAGACAGCTCTCCTGGGTAGCTCCTACAAATGGTAGTTTAGGGACTAGCCACGTGCTCCTTGTGGCTGCAAAGTTAGCAGGTCACGAGGGTGGCTATAGGGAGAGGAGAGAGGAGAATGAAGAATCTCATGGAAATTGAGAACCAGACCTGGCAGTGGCAAATATCATATCCATACCCCATTGGCCAGAGTGAGTCACACGGCCCCGCTTCGCTGCAAGACACTGAAAACTCCGGAAGAAAATGAAATGGGCCGGGCGCGGCGGCTTTCACCTGTAATCCCAACAATTTGGGAGGCTGAGGCAGGCAGATCGCTTGAGTCCGGGAGTTTGAGACCAGCCTGGGTGACATGGTAAAACCCTGTCTCTACAAAAAATACAAAAATTAGCCGGGTATGGTGGCGTGTAGTCCAGGCTACTTGGGAGGTGGGAGGATGGCTTGAGCCTGGGAGACAGAGGTTGCATTGAGCCCAGATCATGCCACTGTACTCCAGCCTGGGTGACAGAGTAAGACCTCATGTCACACACACACACACACACAAAAGTAAAGAAAAAAGAAAAAGAGAAACGAAGAAAGAAAATGAAATGAACATATAGCATTATCTGTCACAGTGATAAAATCAAGAAATGTTGAACCCCCACAAGAAAGAAAGAAGTGATGCCATTTCACACCCGCCAGTGTTGACTTGAAGTTTTCTTAGAGTGTCCTAGTTCTCTTGACTCCACTCCGACCCAGACATTGAAATATTTCCTACCATCAATGCCAGCCCCTTGGTTTCTTTGCAGATGTCAAGAAAAGAACTCGTGTGGTGGAAGGGAATGATCCCGTGTGGAATGAGGTAGACACCAGGGCAAGCCCAGAAGAGTAAATAACAATCCCAACAGCAAGGAGGCAAGGGTGGGGTCCAGGCAGGTGCTCGGAGGTCTGGGGAGAGGACCTGCAGCCTCACAAGTGTTCCTCAAGGCTGGGCATCTTGGCCTGGGAGGAGTAGCCTCTGACCAACAAGGCTGTGAAGGCCACACCTGCCCACGACTGTTCGTGGACTTCTCCCCCACTCTGAGGATGGACCATGTTATGGCCTATCAACTCGTCCAGCTGGGCCATCTTGATGTTCCTAGAAGCCTGAAGCCGAGTGAAGGCTCCCTTTGCATGACTCCCTCTCATCTGCCATCACTCCATGTTGCCCCTCGCCCCATTCCTAGTCCCCAAACCCTTAATTCTCAGCATGCCCGCGATACTGCAGTTCAAGTCACAGAAGCCCAGTGGGATGTGCACAGCTTGGTGAAAGGTAGCAAGCGCCATCTCCTGAGGAAGTTAGACATGAGGGAAGTGCACAGCTTGGCGAAAGGTAGCAAGCGCCATCTCCTGAGGAAGTTAGACATGAGGGAAGTGCACAGCTTGGTGAAAGGTAGCAAGCACCATCTCCTGAGGAAGTTAGACATGAGGGAAGTGCACAGCTTGGGAAAGGTAGCAAGCGCCATCTCCTGAGGAAGTTAGACATGAGGGAAGTGCACAGCTTGGTGAAAGGTAGCAAGCGCCATCTCCTGAGGAAGTTAGACATGAGGGATGTGCACAGCTTGGGAAAGGTAGCAAGCGCCATCTCCTGAGGAAGTTAGACATGAGGGAGGTTCCTCAGACTCAGAGAAACGCAGTGCTAGCCCGTTCCCCACATCTTTCCTCATTTCCTAGAAACATGGGATGGGAAGGGAAGGGCAGAGGAAGGATGCTGACCTCTCTATGCCCCCCACAGACCCTAATCTGGCACCTCTGGAACCGCCCCCTGGAAAATGACTCCTTCCTGCAAGTCACCCTTCAGGACACGGGCTCACAAAAGGAAGAAAGGTGAGGCAGAGAGAGGCAGGAGGAGCCTAACTAGTGACCAACGCAGCAGCAGGTTATGTGACCCTTATCTCTAATCCACAACTCATTCACATGAAGGACCGGAACCCACTCCAGCCAGCTAAAGAGAAAAAAGAGGGATGGGTACTGAAAGGGTAGCCAGGGCAAGATTGCAAATCAGCTGGGACAGGAACTTGGGAACCCAGCAGCAGCTCTGTCCATCTGAAGCCATGTATCTCAAATTTCTGCTTCTCTCTGCCCAACCCCGGCTTCTTATCACAGCCTCATCTAGAGCCCAGCTGAGACTCACATGCCCTGAGACTGAGGCTATGACATCCCAGGTCAAAATTCCTAGGACAGAGAATCCTGTTGTTCCAGCTCTAGCCAGGTGTCCATCCCTGGTCCAATCAACTGTTACTTGCCTAGGAGCCCCAAGACAGTTCCCAGAGCCAGGAGCCCTGTGCCCTGTCGTGGATCCCCAGCCCCACTGCACTCTTCTCCAGCCTCTCTCTGAGGACAGCACAGCCCTGGGAGGAAACCGTCTCTAGCTAAAGCCCTGCCCGGGAGAGAGGAAGACGCCTTTCCCCTGGCTCGGGATCTCACATCTGCTCCTTGTCTCCCCAGCTTCATTGGCCTGGCCACAGTCCTGCTCAAGCCATTGTGGAAACAACCAAGCAAGGTCCTTTTTGTGAAGGATCTGACCCTGCTCAACCATTCCATGAAGCCCACAGATGTGAGTCAGGCCCAGGAAGGCCCAGGCAGGGTGACTGGAGGAATGGGGGCAGCTGGGGAAGCGGCCCACACCACAAGAGGGCTTCTTGCCTGGGGGGCCCCATCTCACCGCCTTCCTCTCCTGACCACCCCCCTTGCCATCATCTGCCCCCACCACAACCCACCTATTTAGATGAATTGACCACCTTCCATGGGGAGTCAACCACTGTGCTAGGCCCTGTGGTACAAAATTGCCTGAAGCCCATGGTCTGTTGGAGTATGCTGCATTCACAGTGACAGGTGCTCCAGCGCCCATGAGACAAGCTTCAGTAAAGCAAGGCCACTGGCTGAGGTCAGGAAGGAGTGAACGATTTGTCTCAGGAGGTCATGGACAGCTTTACAGAGGGGTGATGTTTAAGACATACGGAAATGTAGGAAGACCACCCAAATGAGAACAAGCAAAGGCTGTTTATTCAGAGCTTGTGCTAGCAAGGGACTTGTTCATCATCATTTGTGTTTTGGTAGAGACTCAGAGGCAGCCAGGGGAGCGGGAGAACTTCACAGTGGACAGAAGGGAAGGCTGCAGATGTGCCCTGATTGGAGGCTACGGGGGAGCCCAAGGCGGGCTAGCTAGAAACAGGGCCTCCCATGTGATTGGTTAGAGGGGCATGTTTGGCTCTCTCTGGTTGGTCCTAAGTTGGAAGTGGGGACAAAAATTAAGGCAGCTGCCAGTTATTAATCAAGGCCTGGCCATTTGGAGCTGATCATTATTGCTTGGCTTCCTGGATTATTGCTAGAGACAGTAGTCTGACCTCCTACAAGTCTGACTTGGAGCAGGCTGGCTTCCTGGGCTGGTTACTGTAGATAACAGGTTGGTTTCCCAGGCTGGTTGCTGCAGATGTGAATCTGAGTCTTATTTTATGTGTGGTTTGACCATTGGCCATTTGTATGCAGACAGTCTGTGACTTACAATGGATGGACACACGATATTGTTGACTTACAATGAGTTTATCAGGATGTGATCCCATCATAAGCCAAGGCGCATTCAGTCTGTCAGTTGAGTTATAAGCAGAGGCATGAGTTTCCCCAATGGACAGGAGTGGAAGATCAGCCCAGGCAGGGGCATAAAGTGGGTGGAGCAGGAGGCAGGATGAGGGAAGGTGTGCTGCACTGTTGGCACCGGGTGGGGGGGGCACGTGGAGGTGGGAGAACTGAGGTTGTGTGGGCGACCAAGAGCTAGAGGTGAAGGGCCTTGTGGTCCACGCTGGTGAATTGCGATTTAACTTTGATCATTTAGACACTTGGGGTGTTCAGGGGCCATCCTGGTGACAGTCTGGAGGCTGGGTGGGTCATGGGAACACATGAAGAAAGGAGCTCAATTAAAAGGCAGGAGTGTGCAAGGGCCCCACATGAGCTCATGAGATGTTGGGCTTAGGGAAGAACTGCTAGCATCTCTGTTATGGGCTTAAGTCACCTCTCCCTCTCCTCCCCACTCTCCTGCATCCTTTTCTGCCACCATCACCACCATGTGGCTGCTTTAATCTACAAACATCCTCTCCACTGTAACCCATTGCTCTCTCCTCACCCATTTATAACCTCCCTCCACCCAGACTGTGCAGATGCCTGTGGTGTGGCCCCATCCCATGGCTAGCATCACGGCCCCCACCGGGAGGACCAGGCGTGAACCCAGCCAGACTGTGCAGGGCTTGGCTGTGTCCTAGGATGGCGGGGTCTGGCTTACAGCTCTCTGGCCTTTGTCTTGCAGTGTACTGTCACCCTACAGGTGGCCCACATGAGCCACCGGGATATTGAGAAGACAGGTATGTCCTTCCCTGGAGCTTACCCTTAAGGGCTTACCCTGCCTTTCTCCATGCACAGCTGGATGGCTTCTTGGGGACCTTCAAAACCCAGCCCTTGAGGCCTACAGAAGGAAATGTGACCGGGCTAGGGTCCCTGGAAGCTACAGGGTCTAGATGCCAGATCTCCAGACATCTGGCTGAGGCCATCCCAATATGCCTATTTGTCATCTCTAGACATAAGACCCATAAGATACAAGACATAAGTCTCCAAGGGGCTGCAGAGAGATGAGGATGGTCATCTCCAACAGCCCCAGTGTGTGGAGCGAGGTCCAGGAATGCACAATTCCTGAGGGTGGAGAGGCCCATGGTAATGTTCTGCAGAGGACATGCATCCCTGTTGGGGCCTCTTGGCCATGCTTTTAGTCAGGAGACGGTCACTGGGGACAGAATGGTGGAATGGGGAAAATGCCTCAAACCTCCTGGGTCCCAGGCCTTTCAGCCCACCCTGGACTATGTCTCTCTAGGAGCTGAAGACCTCCTGGGCATAACGGCAAGAGAGGCGGCCAGGCAGAAACTGCTGGTCCCTGGCTCCACCGCGCACAGGGCTCTGTCCTCAAAGCCTCAGCACTTTCAGGTGAGGACCCTCCAGGTTGCAAGTTCATGTGACCCACCTGACACCCTTACTTGCTGTGTTCCCAGGCCGTCCTCACCCCTCCCCAAGGTCATGGTAGAAAGGCAGAGCTTCAGACCCAGCTTCAGGGCCTCAGATCCTTGCCACATCCCCTGCTCCTCCCGTGGCCATTCTGGAAACTTCTGCCTGTAGCTGAAGCCACAGGGCTCCAGTGAGGCAGTAGGAGGGCTGGCTGTGCATTGGCAGGCCCTGGTACCTGCTGGGGAAGCAGCGCAGATGACAGGGATCCTGCCCTCTCAGAGTCCTTGGTTGTTGGCAAAACGCAGTAGGGCACAGGGAAAGTTAAATTAACTGTACAGGAGAGGCTGGGGAGTGAGGGGACCTGTGGGAAGGCCCACATTTCCGTGTGGATTCAGGAACCCTCATCCCATCGCTTATCAACTTCCCTCTACCTTCTAGCCTGTGGCCTAACATTCCTGCCATGGTTTTACCTGCTCCCCAGCCTGCTCCTTGCCGAGGAGGCTGGGAGGCTCCTGGACCGCTCGTCTTCCTGCACCCAGCCAAGTCCTAGCTCTTAACGTCACCCAGCTGCTCCCATTTTCCCCCAACCACTTCCATTCCCTGGCCTGAGCCACCACCATCTCTTCCCTGGACCATGTCAGAAGCCTTCTCCTGAACCCCCAGCCTCCAGCTCTCTCCTGTCCGTTCTTCAACCAAAATGGCCTTTCAAAGATGTCACTCTTATCACGCCAAGCACTTTCTTCAAAAGCCCCAGTGTCCTCCTCACAAGATCCAATTCCTTTTACAATGGCTTCCCGGGCCTTGATAACCCAAGCTTGTCTCTCCAAGCCTTTCCAAGTCCATTGCCTCTTAGCCTTCTCCCAGTGGGTTTTCTCTCTCCACTGTGGTATGGAGAGAATATTTTTTCTTTCTTTTTCTTTTTTTTTCTTTTTTTCTTCTCTTTTCTTTTCTTTCTTTCTTCCTTCCTTCCTTCCTTCTTTTTTTTCTTTCTTCCTTCTTTCCTTTCTCTTTCTTTTTCTTTCCTTTCTTCCTTTCTTTTCCGTCCTTCCTTCCTTCCTTCTTTCCTTCCTTCCTTCCTTTCCCTCTCTCTCTTCTTTCTCTTCCTTCCTTCCTTCCTTTCTTTTCTTTCTTTCTTCTTTTTATTTGAGACGGAGTCTTGCTCAGTTGCCCAAGCTGGAGTGCAGTGGCACAATCACAGCTCACTGCAGTCTAGACCTCTGAGCTCAGGTATCCTCCCACCTCAGCCTCCCAAGTAGCTGGGATTACAGACAGGCATGCACCACCACGCCCAGCTAATTTTTTGTAGAGACGGGGTTTTGCCATGTTGCCAAGTCAATCTGGTCTCAAACTCCTGGGCTCAAGCGATTCTCCCACCTTGGCCTCCCAAAGTGCTGGAATTACAGGCATGAGCCACTCACTGCACCTGGCCTAGAATGTTTTCTTATCAGAACAATTGTGTCCCAGCTGGGGAAGGCGGGGCCAAGGTCCTCAACGTCAGCTCCCCATGTGTTCTCCCCTTAGGTTCGAGTGAAGGTGTTTGAAGCCCGACAGCTCATGGGCAACAACATCAAACCAGTGGTGAAGGTGTCCATCGCAGGCCAGCAGCACCAGACACGCATCAAGATGGGGAACAACCCTTTCTTTAACGAGGTGGGCTGAACGGGGCACCTCAGGCAAGAAGCCAGCCAAGGGCTGGGCATCCCGGGCGGGCAGCCTGCAAGCTTGCTCCTTGACTAGGGTGTCATCATGTGTTTGTTCCACAAGCATTTACTGAGTGTCTCCTGAGGGCCAAGCACTGAAAATACAGAACAGGATAACTCAGAGCCCTGCATCTGAGCAGCTGGTGGGCTGGTGGGGGCACAGCTCATGAATCCATAAACAATTACAGTGGAGCAGATCGTGGTTTGCAGAGGTCTGGGAGCATTGTTATTGGAGGTCTGAAGCAGAGACCCCGACCATGTATGTCCCATTGCTGCTGGAGCCCCAAATGGTAGCACTGTGCCTGATATACAGTAGGTGCTCCATAAATGCCTGTTGAATTAATTAGTAAATAAACAAATAAAAGATAAAAGCACAGTGGAAGCTGGGAGGAGTAAGTGAGTAATGAGGCTGGGGGTGACGGAGAGGACTCAGAAGGGCTCCAGCAACCCTGCAGGAAGATTTTACCAGAGAAAGACAGATGGGATAGGAAAAGATAATTCAGGAAAAAGGGATGGTGTTTTCAAAGGCCTAGAACCAAGCAAGCCGCAGACTTGACAGCAGAACTATAGCTATGGGTGTGGCCGGAGGAGACTGGCTGGAGGGGAGCCTACAGTGTGGGCTGGGGTCCCATCCTGGACACTACTCAGGAGCCATGGAGGACTTCAGCAGCGGAGTGACAGGCCTAGGTTTGCATTTGGGAAAGGAGTTTCTAGCTGCCACGGGGAGCAGGGACAGAGTGGACTGGCAGGGCAATCTAGAAGGAGGTGTGGGCTCAAATCTCCATCCTAGGCAGCTAGCTGGGTCCTGAGTTCTCCAGGGATCTCCTACCATTCCCTATTCTGGGCAGAAAACCCTCCAGGAGACTGGGCGTGGTGGCTCATGCCTGTAATTCCAGAACTTTGGGAGGCCGTGGTGAGTGGATCACCTGAGGTCCGGAGTTCGAGACCAGCCTGACCAATATGGGGAAACCCTGTCTCTTTTGTAAAAAGACAAAAAATAGCCACACGCAGTGGCGGGTGCCTGTAATCCCATCTACTCAGGAGGCTGAGGCAGGAGAATCGTTTGAACCCAGGAGGTGGAGCTTGCAGTGAGTTCAGATTGCACCACCACACTCCCACCTGGGCGACAGAGCAAGACTCCCCCTAAACAAACAAACAAACAAACAAAAAACCTGGGAAATCCCTCTAGCAGCCCGGGAGACCTCTGCTTCTGGGGGAGCATGAGAGAAGTGGCACAAGTTGAGTATCCCTTACCCAAAATGCATGGTATCAGAAGTGTTTTGGATTTCAGATTTTTTTGGGAATCTGGAATATTTGCATTGTACCGGTTCAGCATTTGTAATATAAAAATCCAAAACCCAGAGCGCTCCAGTCAGCATTTCCTTTCAGGGTCATGTTGGCACTCAGAAAGTTTCAGATTTTGGAGCATTTTTGATTTCAGATTTTTGGATTAAGAATACTCAACCTGGGCCGGGCGCGGTGGCTCACGCCTGTAATCCCAGCACTTTGGGAGGCCGAGGCGGGCGGATCACAAGGTCAGGAGATCGAGACCACGGTGAAACCCCGTCTCTACTAAAAATACAAAAAATTAGCCGGGCGCGGTTGTGGGCGCCTGTAGTCCCAGCTACTCGGGAGGCTGAGGCAGGAGAATGGCGTGAACCCGGGAGGCGGAGCTTGCAGTGAGCCGAGATCATGCCACTGCACTCCAGCCTGGGCGACAGAGCGAGACTCCGTCTCAAAAAAAAAAAAAAAAAAAATACTCAACCTGTTCTCGTAAACCCATTGAAATGGGTAAAGTTGTGGGAAGAAGCACATTATTCTGAGCTTTCGGGTTTACCGGGTGCTTGGGTGAAGTGGTGGAAGAAATCGTCCACTCTACCCCAATTCTCTCTGCCTCAGATCTTCTTCCAGAATTTTCACGAGGTTCCTGCAAAGTTCTTTGATGAGACCATCTTAATTCAGGTGAGGAGCCAAACTGGTCCCCAGCAAGGTGTGTTTCTTGTCCCACTTCAATACCGGGAAGCGCTGCAGCTCCAGCCCCCGCCCTTAGAGCCAGGGGCACTTCAGATTGTCTTCCTCACCACCCCCCAACTTTCTTCACCCCCTGGCACCCAGATTATTCATTCATTTACTCATTCACTCAACAAACGTTGTGGACTGCCAACTGCCCGGCCCTGAACTGCACAAGGTGAGACAGCAGCCCCTTCCCATGTGCCAGGATTCTCAAGCCACCAAAGGCCCTTTTGGGGAGTAGAATACTCCATTCCCCTAACCAAAGGACCCAGTAACAACGGTGAACATGTGGTATCAGGTGTCTGCCATGTGCCCAGCACAGGGCTAAAGAGAACAAAGAGGCCTTTCCTTTGAAGAATTTACATGTTCCTTGGAACAAAGGCACAGAAGAAACAACCAGGAGAGCATGTGGTGGATAACGCTAGTGCAACACCTTGCTTTATTGACTTGGGCCAGGAAATTGACGCTCTCTGATCAATTTCCTCATCGTAAGATGAATTAAGAAATGTGAACCTCACGAGGGTTCCTCTGGGAGTGAAGTGAAGCACCATGTGCAAGTGTCAGCCCCCATTACGAAGCATTCAACACGTCGGAGTCCCGGATCCTTTGCATTCCTCTTACCGGGCTGAGGGAAATGGGATCGTGAATAATCAATCAATATGTCTGGGAACTCCCTTGCAGGTGTTGAACTCCTCAGTAATCGAGATCACACAGCAGAGATCGGAGATTTCAAGTGAGTACGTACATGGAGAGTTCGGTAAACAGTTATGCTGGACCACCCACGCTGGGCTCCCAATGCCGCAAGTCTGGGAACCAGACTGGCGCGAATTTTTCATCGGCCGGTGCGCGGATGGCGCTCACGCCTGTAACCCACCACTCTTGGGAAGCCGAGGCAGGCCAGATCCCGGAGAGATCAGAATCGAGACCATACCTGGCTAACTTCCCGGTGAACGCCGCGTCTCTAGCTAAAAATACAAAAAATTAGCCAGGCATGGGTGGCGGGCGCCTGTAGTCCCTAGCTACTCGGAGGGCTGAGGCAGGAGAATGGGCATGAAGCTGGGAGGGCGGAGCTTGCGGCCAGTGAGCCAGATGACAGGCCACTGCACTCCCAGCCGCTGGGCCCCCACAGAGTGAGAACCCGTCCCAAAAAAAAAACGAAAAGAAAAAAGAAAGATCCACACTTGTATCCACCTACCAACTGGGTGACTTAACAGAAGTTATTCTGAGCCTCTACTTCCTCATCTGCAAAAGGGGGATAATAATATACTCAATCTGGAGGGTGATTGTGAGGATTAAAGTATATATAACATTTATAAAGCTCGGGGCGTCATGTTGATTTCCACACAGCCATGATACTTGGACACAGTTCAAATCTCTGCCTCCAGTAAGTAGAAGCAGAGGATCCAAAAGGTCAGCTTATATGTTAGGGAAACTCAGAGAAAGATTGCTGCCTTTGAGGACAGAGTGATCAAGATGCTGACATTTGAAAGACAGGCCGAGACGACTTAGGAGAGCTTTGGCAGTCCATATGCACTAAACTAACATTTTCTCCAAATCCCAAAAACAGATTCAGGAAACATGCCGCCAGGCCGCCGGTGCTGCACGCCTGTTAATCGCCAGCACTCTTGCAGGCTGCCGAGAGGCGGATCATGAGTCAGAAGATCGAGCCCTCCTGGCTAACCCCCGCTGAAACCCGTCTCTACTAAAATACAAAAAAAAAAACCTAGCCGGGGTCGCCTGGCCATGGCACCTGTGATTCCCAGCCTTTATTCGCGAGTCTGAGCACGCGAGAGACTGGCGTAAACCTGGGAGGCGGAGCTTGCGTGACCGGAGATCCGCCACGTGCACTCCTAGTCCGGCGGGCTCAGAGTCGCGCACTCTGTCTCAAAAAAAAAAACAAAAAGACAATCAGGAAAAGGTAGGTTGCTACGTTAAATACAGGATGCCCGGTTACATTTAATCTCAGATAAACAAAAAAATACATTTTAAATATAAGTATATCCCAAATATTACATGGCTTCTCACCAAATATTGCAGGGACATATGTGTATTAACCAAGTCATCATTGTTTATGTGAAATTTTAATTTAAGTGGGTCTCTTCTATTTTTATTTACTAAATCTACAATGTTAGTAAAGGGGGACCACCCTTGGAAAAAACATAGAGAGGGATTCTAGAAATGTTAGATGGTAGGAGGTGAAAAATGTTGTGCTCTTGACAAAGGCCACCGCATGATTTCTAGACAGTGACCAGTGACATAAACTGACTAAGTTATAGAGGTCAGAGAAAACCTGAGTTTAACCGAGCTTCTTTTTTTTTTCCTTTGAGATGTGATCTTGCTTTGTCACCCAGGCTGGAGTGCAGTGATGCGATCACGGCTCACTGCAGCCTCGAACTCCCAGGCTCAAGCAGTCCTCCCACCTCAGCCTCCCAAGTAGCTAGGGCTACAGGTGTGCACCACCATACCTGGCTAATTTTTAAATTTTTTTTGTAGCGAGTGGGTCTCACTATGTTACCCAGCCTAGTCTAGAACTCCTAGACTCAAGCCGTCCTCCCACCTCAGCCTCCCAACGTGCTGGGATTACGGGCATGTGCCCACCACACCCAGCCGAGCTTATTTTTTATTTCTTTTTATTTTGGTATCATGAACTCCCATATCCTCATCACTCATCTTCATCAATTCACAGTCAATTGTGTTTTACCTACACCTAGCCCCCTTCCCCTTCACCACTGAATTATTTTGAATCAAATCTCAAGCATCATATCATTTTATCTTTCTACATTTCAGTATGTATTGCGAAAACATAAGGATTTTATTAAGCATAACCACATACAATTATCACATCTAAAAACCTTCATAATTCCTAGGTAGCATTAAATACCTAGTCAGTGTTCAAATTCCCCTAATTGTTTTACATATTCCTTTTACACTTTGTTCAAATCAAGATTCCAGGCTGGGCACAGTGGCTTACACCTGTAATCCCAGAACTTTGGGAGGCCAATGCAGGCGGATCACTTGAGGTCAGGAGTTCAAGACCAGCCTGGCCAACATGGCCATCTCTACTAAAAATACAGAAATTAGCTGGGCATGGTGGCACATGCTTGTAATCCCAGCTACTCATGAGGCCGAAGCAGGTGAATCATTTGAAACCAGGAGGTACAGGTTGCAGTGAGCCAAGATTTTGCCACTGCACTCCACTCTGAGCGACAGAGAGAGGCTCTGTCTCATAAAAACAAAAACAAAAAACAAATCAGGATTCCAAACCAGATCCATTCATTGCAAGTGGTTAATATGCATTTTAGTTTCCTTTTACTCTGTTGGTCCTCTCTGTTCCCCCCACTTCCCCTTCTTTTTTTTAATTTGCAACTTATTTGTTAAAGAAACTGGGTAGTTGGACCTGTAGCATTTTCTCTGGTCTGGGTTTTGCTGATTTCATCTTCAGGGGATCATTTTGCATTCCCCCCACCCCGCTTCCCTATCTAGAGTTTAGATCAGTCTCAACCAATTAGTTGGCAAAGGGACTTTAACAGAAGGCACAGAATGTCTGCTGGTCTCTCATTTTATGTTGTTAACAACTAATGATGATCACCGCCTGGATCTGTTGCTTCACTAGAAGTGACTGAGTTTTTATTCTGTTTTTTTATTTTTTAATTTATATATATATATATAGAGAGAGAGAGAGAGAGAGCGAGCGAGCGAGCGCGGGCGAGAGAGACAGAGTCTTACTCTGTCACCAAGGTTGGAGTGCAGCGGTGCAATCTCAGCTCACTGCAGCCTCCACCTCCCAGGTTCAAGTGATTCTCCTGCCTCAACCTCCCGAGTAGCTGGGATTACAGGTGCATGCCGCCATGCCTGACTAATTTTTGTATTAGTCTGCCTCGGCCTCCCAAAGTGCTGAGATTACAGGTATGAGCCACTGCACCCAGAGGTGTATGTTTAACTTTTTAAGGAAATTTTCTAAAAGTTTTTTTCCAAAATTCCAAATAGGTTGTGCCACTGTACATGCCCACCAGCAGTGTATTAGAGTTCCAGTTGCCCCACATTCTCCACAATACTTGATCTAGTCCATCTTTTCTATTTTAGCCATTCTAACGGTGTATAGTAGTATTTCGTTGTGATTTTAATTTAAACCTTCCTGATGACTAATGATGTTGAACATCTTTTCATGTGCTCGTCATCTGTATATCTTCTTTGGTGAAGTGTCTGTTCAAACCTTTAGCTTGTTTTCCTTGGATTGTTTGTTTTCTAACTATTGATATATGATTTGCTAATATTTTCTTCCAGAGTATGACAGCCCGTTCATTTTCTTTCTTTCTTTTTTTTTTTTTTCGAGACAGAGTCTTGCTCTGTCACCCAGGCCGGAGTGCAGTGGCACAATCTCGGCTCACTGCAAGCTCTGCCTCCCAGGTTCACGCTATTCTCCTGCCTCAGCCTCCCCAGTAGCTGGGACTACAGGCGCCTGCCACCTCACCCGGCTAATTTTTTTGTAGTTTCAGTACAGACGGGGTTTCACCATATTAGCTTTTTTATATTATGGATTTATTGAAGTGTCATTGACATACAATGAATTGTACATATTTAAAATGTGCAATTTGATATATTAAAAATATGTGCACACCCAGGAAAAAAACATCATCACAATTAAGATAATGAATATACCCATCACATCTGTCATCTCCAAAAGTTGCCTAATGCGCCTTGGGAATCACTCCGTCTCATTCCCCATCCCACCCCCTTGCATTCCCAGACAATCACTGATCTGCTTTCTGTTATTATGCGAACGTTTCTTTCCTAGAGTTCACATTAATAGATAAGTATTTCCTTTAGTTCTTATCAATAGAATCATACATTCTCTACCCTTTTGTGCCTGCTTTCTTTCCCTCAGCATTGCTATTCTGAGATTCATCCATGTTGTTGCATTTGTCAGTAGTGCACGCCCGCCCTCGGCCTTCCCCAAAGTGCTGGAGGTTTTACAGGAGTGAGCACCGCCGCACGCCGGCCAACAGCCTGTCTCATTTTTCTTTTTTTTTTTTTTCTTTTTTTTTTTGAGACGGAGTCTCTCGCTCTGGCCGCCAGGGGCTGGAGGCAGGGCCAGATCTACAGCTCACTGCAAGCTCCACCTCCGCTTCACGCCATTTCCTGCCTCAGCCTCCCCGAGTAGCTGGAGCAGCAGCCCGCCACATCGGCCCAGGCTGGTTTTTTTTTTTTTTTTGTTTTATTTTGCAGTAGAAGATGGGTTTCACCGTGTTAGCCAGATGACTCCATCTCCCTGACCGTCGGATCTGCCGCTCGTCAGCCTCCCAAGAGGTTGGATGTTATCCAGGCTTGAGCCACCGCACCCGCACCTGTTG